TGGAATTCATTGTTATTTTTAATGTCAGTAGGTCTGCATGCTTAAATGTATATACAATCCACTATTTTGTTTAATATAAGTAAGTGTACATGTGTACATATATATATATAAAATCCAGTTTTCTGTTTAATATCAGTAGGTGTACATATATACATGTGTTTTTCACCCAGTGTTCTGTTTAATATCAGTAGGTGGACACATGTACATATGTGCTTGTCATGTGTTTTTTTATGAAGGGCTAGATTGATGTAGTTGATTCTGCAACCCTGATGATTATAATACTGCACTAATGTAATTTTTTACATATCTAAATGCACAGGGATCACTTTTCCCTTTCTAAATTTTAAGAGAATAAACTTTTTTCTTTGTTTTTGAGGATAAACTTTCTGTAATATGTCCAAAGAACTATATTTTGGGGTGAATGAGCATTCCTTATAATAAAACTAAAACTATAGATAAACAATATTAAACAATTATATAGTATAATGGTTCTTTGGAAACATAATTAAGCCATTAAATACTTGTTGTAAAATGTCTGTGGGAAGTTAAATTTAAGATATTTGACATCAATTCTTAGGAGTCATGTAGTCTTAAAAATAATAAAGAGAAAATGTTCACAGCATTAGATATTCCACAGCTCAAAGTTGTGAAAAACCATATGAATAGAAAAAAATCATATCTTCTGCAGTATTAAACTTTACTTAATACTGTATTCTACATGATTCTAAAAACTGTGATAAAGTTTCAATCTTTACATTTAATATACAAATAAAGAAGTATCCAGCATGTTCTTGATTTAAGCTTCTTAGTCTTATAAGTCCCACGGTTTTGTTTGGAATCATTTCACAATGGATACTTTTGTAGACTAGTCACCATTGTATTCTCCTTTCTGCACTATGATGCACCAGATTTTAAGTTGAAGATAAAAGAAATGAAAGCACTTGCTATCAGTAAGCTGATGCCCAATTGCATTTATGGAACAATTTATAGAACATTCAGAGATTTAAACATCATAAAAAGTAAAACTTCAATACAAGCAGTGCCACAGAAAGTTCACTTATTGTAGAGCATTGGCATCTCCCCAATAGCTTGCATTTACATGATGCATCAAAAGCTCACCATTACATTTACACCTATTACAATGTTCTAATGTAGATGCTATCTTTATTCCAATTTTCAGTGAGGTAAGGTGCTGTACTAAGTTTAGATGACTACTAAGTAGCTATAAAAACAAATGCAGGGTTAGTCGTCAAATCTAATGTGCTTTCCACATAAGTGCTACATATTTTTTCATAAAGTAAAAGTGAGGCTGTAGGCAGGGTTTGAGTTCACGTGGAAGGATTATGTGGGAAAAGGAAAAAGTTAAGGTTTTCATTCTAGAAGTTAGCATCACATAAGAGAATAAATACAGCATGTATTGAGAGTGAAAGGGGCATGGAATGAAGCATGAGATAAATCTCAATTATTAGTTGTAAGCAACGCTCATTAAATTTCAATTAAATAAATAAATCAAGCCAAAAATTTTCTTTAGATTTGGCCAGAAATTAAAAATTATTTATAAATTGAAAGTAGACATAGGGTAAAATTTCTATTCATGGAATTTCATCAATTATTTGTGCTAATGGGAGAAAATTTTATGTTCTTGTATATCATCAAGGGAATAAAAATTAGCAGTGTTCTATACTCTGTTTTCTTTCAAACAACTGAATATCAAGTGCACGTTTTGTGTCAGGAGTTTATATCATGCAATGAAAAAGGAATAATCACTAATACCAGATATCTCGCAGCCTAGTGCTAAAGCAAAATGCTTGAAAATAATAGTCATGGGCCAATTCAGAGTGGTGGACTGCAGTGTGTAGCATCATGGGAAGCCTTTCAGGAAAAACAATTGTCAAGCACCACCAAAGGCCCTGCTTTCTAGGTTGATGATGCTCAGTTGTCAGAAGACATGTTTGAAAGGCATGTGAAATATATGTAGGAATGCTGGAAAAATGCAGAAACAAATTCATAGTAATGTGGTTGAGTACAAGAGTAAGGAGACAGAAACGTAGGGTATGCATTTAGACAGGAAACCAGGCAAGTTTCCTGAAGGGATCTGGGTCCTTCTGGTTCACTGTGAACAAAACTACAATTTAACATTTAGCTTTGCAATTTACTAATTGAGGATATCCCATAACTAAAGAATAGTATGTCATGTTGGGCATAATTTAAGTCCCATAAGAATGACCATTTTCCTCTCTGTACTAGACATTTTCTTTTCTGTTATAGGACAAAATTTATTCTGTTGAGGAAAACTATATCAGCAGAATGTTCGGAGCAGGACACAGTCAGAAAACAGGCTTGCAGCATGCACAATCTAAACTCTGAAAATATGTTCAACAGTGTATTTTTAAGTGGAAAACAAGACTTCTATTTGAGAACGTATTCACTTAGCAAAATATTTTATTATTTTGGACATTTTAAGAGAATTTAATTGGACTTTGAGAAAAAGGAAAGAGACAAGAGTGATTCTTGGTAGGACAAATGGGCAGGAAGTGGACTGTGGCAGCATTGGAGGCGGTTGCTGCTTCTGCTGCGATGTTTGTCTGCTCTGCTCATCACAAAACCAACTCAGTATCTTTACTTAGACAAAACATGTGCTGCGACTTGTGTCTTCTCTTATATCTTATTACTGAGCAAAGAAAACTATTTTCTCCATATTCAAAACATAATTTAGCTTTAAAAAGAATACAGAAGAGTTACATCAGTCTAGGAGGCTTGCTTGTAAAGCAAGGCTTAGTTTTACAAATTAAGTCTATTTCAACAAATTGCGCAAAGTATTTAATTTCAAGAACAAATACTGTTTGGGAGTATTGTATAGTAAAAATCTTTTAAAGGAAGAATACATTTCTAACTGTTGTATTTACAGTATTATTAGAGTACTTAGTAACCTAAAATTAGCTTTAGTGTATTCAAAGTGTTTAGACTAAAATAATCTATGTAGTGAAAACTTTCATTGTGTTTTTTGAAATTCCCAGAGGTTACCTTGTCCTACAGCCCTTCTCAGCATTTTTAACTCTTCATGATTCAGCAGCTGCAATAGGCAGCGCCATATGTAGCAATATCCTGAAGACTTCTAACTTGTCCTGTGTTACATAATGTTAATGATATTGATGAGTCTCTGAAGAAACTATCTCAGAAATGCATCCAGCATCCATCACCATATGCTTTTTTTCCACTTTGGAGAATGAGTGGAATCTATGATCACACAGCTTTGGGTGCTGACAGCTTCCTAGAATATATACATGTGTGTGTGTGTGTGTGTATTTTTCTGTGTTCCAATTAAATAATTGTGGTACTGTCAAAGGATTTACGATAATATTTCACCCAGTAGTGGATTTAACTCTCAAAGTTCAGGGCCATTTCTACAAAGAACCTCTGGTTTTATACAAGTGTTTTAATACACTTTAGTATGACAGTCTTGAAGGATAAACTGAAGTCTAGCCAGCCAAACTCTAGCTACAAGGTCATTCCATGGTAACAGCGGGAAAGAAGGCAAGAGTGATGACTCCCCCAGCTGGTGTGCAAAGAAAGCACACATTTCCCTGCTTCTGACTAGTTTTTCTCTTGATCCTGAATGTTAGTGCTAAGAGTCTCATAATTCCATATACTGCTTTTTAATAATCAAGCTATGTCTCTGATTCACAATCTATAATAATATTGCCCCAAATGTGCCTTTATTATCTGCTTTACTCTTTAGTTCTATGGACATATTAAAATAGATGGTCATACTTTCATGGTCCTACTCACATTATTTTTCATTGAACAATTGCAATTTTAATTACTAATTCATTTCTATTTTCTTATTACAAAATTTTAAACATCCCCCAAAATTATATACCCAATTGTATTTACATTGATGTCATTATATACCACCAACCTAAACACCAGTTTGACATTTATGTCTAATTTTAGATTTTAAGAAAAAACACTTAATTTTAAATAGTACTTTTATAACTGTCAACCATAGATATTAATGGCTTCATAAAGTTTGTTTTAAATTAGTTTGTGTCGTGTTAATTTTAAAGCTATTATTTGTAGTACTTAGAAAAATCAATGCCTCATTTACCTTTATTTTTATGTTCTGAACTCAAATACATTTGTACTTATGAATATAGGTATATCCACTCAGAGCAGTTGAAACAAACATGTAGTTGTAGAAGTAGTGATTAACCAAGTTAATGAAACATTACAACAAACGCATTTTGTAGTTTTGGTAATAGGTATATTACAAATTGGTAAAATTTATGAAAGAGATGATATAAACATACTTCCGAATTTTGGAGGTCAGTGGCAACGTTTCAGCTAACATACAATGTATTTATTAGCTCTTTGATAATTTGGTACAATGAGCTTTGATAATAATCATCTCTCTTCCAACTGCTTTTAGATCTACTCCTCTTCCCTACTTACACAATACTGTCTTTTATTCTTTATCAAGTTAATTTCTCTTGTCCCTATATTTATGGATAGGTGATCTTCCACTGGAGAATAGTCAAATTCCTAGGACTATATATTAAAAAAACAGAAAAAACTTAGTCAGCTTCTCCTAGTGGCTATTAATTGCCAATAGTTCAATGGCTAGGGGTGAGACTTCATTCCCAACAGCCCTCTCCATACTTGTGTTAGCTCTATTTGGAGTTTTCACAGGACTTGTGCATACCCGTCATAGAACTAAATGATAGAGAATACAAATCTTTGAACGTGAAGTCTATGCTGTTTAAGTGGAGGAGAAGCATGTTTGTGCTTCAATGAATTATTTGAAAAAAGAGTATCCCATTTCATGTGCTATATACTTTTTAAAAATGAGTTTCTGTTCACATATGCAATCTGGATGTTTTTGAAGTCAAGCTGTGCTCTGGTAGCGTTGTCTGCAGTTGTGTTTCCTAAATTGCACCTATTAACTTTTGTACTAAAAAAATAAAGCTAATACACAGACTTCTCTTTCCTCTCACCTACAGGTCCCGGGGAGGTGGAGATGAAGTGCCCCTTTAATCATATTACTTGTCGTGGAGCGAGTGCATGTGTCCACTTGTCACAACTGTGCAATGGGGCGTTAGACTGCCCTAACGGCTTTGATGAAGGAGTACATTGCCAGGGTGAGTTTGTTACGAAACAATGCAATTGAAATATTCAAATCTGTATAGTAATAAAAATTCAAAGAGAAGTCTAACCCTCTTTTTCTTTCAACTGTAGATGTAACCGAGAGAGACAGAGAGAGAGAAAGACAGAGACAGAGACAGAGACAGAGACAGAGATGGTTTTATTGCTGGTTTCTCAGTATAAAGTTCAAAGATATAATTATCACAGTTTCTTGAAAAACATGTTGATGAACACAGACCCAGACTTTGAAGCTGGGGATTAAAAATAAACTATTTCACATAAAATTGTTCTTTTGGGCAAAGCAGAATGAGGAGTCATTATCACAGTAGATTGACAGCCAAGCCTGTTTATTCAATCTTTGTCTTAAAGAAAATATTAGTATCAAAGTTCCTACAATTTTATATTTAGATCAATGTGTTTGTGGGAAGTATTTTCTTTGATACTACTTCTGTCCTACTATATTATGAACTTTCTTGCAATTTCAATGTGTTTTAAATATCAGGCTCTCATTTCTACAAAGACACGAGAGAAAAAATTGAAATAAAGAGAAAGTAAAATATAAGTGGAGCTGGGACATTCCAGAACCTGGGAACGGGTTGCAAGGAATGAAACATGAGACTGTGAATCCTAAGAGCTTGTGAAATTAAGGAGGATCAGGCCAGGCCTGGGTAAAAGAAGAAACCTTCCACACTCACACATCTTATTGCCCACACTCCAGTTGATAGAGTACCTGTCAGAGCCAGGTGAGGCTACGGATGCCTGAACCTATGGGGACTTACTTCAAATATATTCTCTGTAGTTGTGTATGAGTACCAGTGTCCTTCCCTGGTTTTCACAATATGTCTCTCTACCAAATGGTAGGAAGCAACATGCTAGGGCTGGAGACAGCTCTGAGGAGCCACTATTTTTCTGCTGTTATATATCCACTCTTCCAGCATCAGTCACAGGGAAGTACTGGAGCCCCTTGGTAGGGACTGAAAGAAAGGAACCGTACATGAAAGAACCTTTACAGCATGAGTGAAGCTTTGTAAACAGATTGAAATGACGTTGGACAGACTCTGATTTCTACATAGAGGGATTGCAAGATGGACCCAGGGAAGGAACAGCAGCAACAAACATCTCCACAATATGTCACTGAAGTCAGGATGTAAACAAGAATAAGTTCCTCATGTCAGGGTTAGTGAGATACATTTAACAGAGGAGGTTTTAGAAAACTGAAGGTCCAGTGTTGCATAGCTGGGTTGGTGGCTGAGAGTACTTGTTACTCTGGGAGGGGATGTGAGTTCTGTTTCCAGCACATATGTTAGGGACCTCCTTGCTGCCTGTAACTTCAGCTCCAGGCAATTTTATGGCATACATATAGATCCATGGATATACACATGTAAGAACACACCATGAAGAGAAATATAGTACAATAAAAGTGGAGAGGCAGTTATGTAGGAAAATGTACCAGGCAGTAAATTTCTAATTTTCCCAGAGGAGCTTACTATCTACATCTCTTTAGAATGTTCACACATAGATATTGCCTTTTAGGATGGGTGAACATAGACACAAAGAGTAATACCGGTAAATTTTCAATTGCTGTTTATGTCCACATAGAAGAGTAGGATTTAAGGTAAAAGATATGCAATTCTAGACTGAGTGGCCAAAAAATACTTTTTATTGAGAAGATTAATTTATAACTGTGCGTAATTAATTGTACTGCAAGATGTATACAAAGAACATCAGAGAACACTGGATTTGTAAAATGTATGTGGTTTGTCTTAAAGAGGCAAACGTAGATATTTGTCAACACAACGGCTCTGTATGAGTGAAGTCTCCCTCCCCACATTCAGAGTGCTTCCTCCTTGCTCATTGTTCATGAAAACATGCCTCTTGATTGATTTTCAAGCACCAATACTATGAAGCATCTAGGGACCTTTCTACTATAGACATAAAATAAGGAAAGAAATTGTTAAGTGTACTTTCCATTGCTGTCTCCTAATGATGCTGTCTTTAAAAAAAATAATCTTGTTACTTTCAGAGCACGTACTCTCATTTAAATAATTACACACAAAACGAAAGCCATGACTCAAAAATGAATTTGGCTCTTTCATCCAATAAATGATTCAAAGTACATTTGGTGGGATATTTGTAGTCTTTATGAAAATTAATAATAAGTAAAGCTTAAAGATTTGAACTTTATGTTCTGGTCTTGGGAATGCTTTTGTGTTTAGTGAATTGTTTTCTGAATGTTTCCTGGCTAAATCAATTCCTTTCTAGTCAAAACAATGAAAAATATCTATTATTAAAGATTTTCTGTAACACAGATACTTTAATCTCCATAATTTGGTTCCAATTGATGGAAAAATGGATTTTTATATGGGCATAGTTATATACAAGAATTTGCTTGTGAGATATTTAACAATAAGCACTTGTAAAATAACCACATTATATTTTCAAAATTTCATGTCTTCATACACAGTATTTCAAAGTAGTAGCAATATTTCCCTATCTAAGTTGTAGGAGCAATACAAGGCATGTATTAAAGTTTGAGATCTGTATTCAGGCAAAAGAGTGATGGAAAGAAGTAGCAGAAATCAGACCACAGCATATCTAAAAATGCCATCTTAAATTTGACCTTCTTAGGATAATCAATTATGTCAACATTTTGGTGAGGCATTGGGAAGAGGGATTCTTTACAATTCTAGTCCTAGTTATAGTACATTAGTTACACAAGGAGACAATGCGTGTGAGGACAGCATTCTCCAGTCACAATCTGCTCCTATTCTGTTAAAAAAAATATATCAACACTCTATAAATCACTGAGAAAACTTTTTTTCAATTTCCATGTCACTAGAAAAACATAACTATGTAATCCGTATGGTTTCATTTCATAAAATGGTTAGGGCTCTTTTAAACCTAAGGAGATTAAATATCTGAGGACTTGAAATCCTTAAGAAATGAAACCTTCTGACAAGAATTAATTATCTCCCAAGCACAGTGATGCAAAGAAATGCCACAAAAGTCTTTTGTAAGTTTTAGCTTTTTATTCTGATCCTATTTCTAGGTAGCTTTGGGTTTGCTATACATGCAATTGGTGTATTTGTCAAGAAACATATAAAAATATTCTCTTATATGTACACTTATTTCCTTGAAATAATAGCATTAATTTTTAATTACACTGATTCTTACTTAACAAAACAGGGGTTCAGCCTTAATAATATATACTCCTTCATCTTCAGTCTCTTGTGAAGAAATGACATGTATTTACTCCAAGACTAAACAGAACATTGAAAATGGATAGCTGCTTATTTATCTTTTGCTTTATTATCCATAGTACTTAAATCTTATGCTAAAGTGTTTTTAAAACCTTCTGGAGAGGTTTGTAACCAAGAAACTCTTTCAGAATCAAACAAGATAAATGGTAGCTTTTATTTTTATAATGATTTACTATTATAAATTTAGCACTTTTGACATCCTTGCTTAAGTGTCATATATATTTCAATTTTTTTCTAAAACAGAATTAATTTAAAAAAATAAACAAGGAGCCCAAGTATTCCCTCCCTCTATATTTCAGAATGGAAAAAATTATCTTGGTTTGTTGTTTTGTCAGTCATTCTTTTTTTTAATAGTCTTAGTTTTAGGAAAAGTGTCATGTATAGATCAGGGAAGTTTGCAGCTAAGGTTAGAATTAAAAGTGAGCTAGGGTTCATACTGGAATTAGAGTTAGGATAAAGACTGAGGTTGTGGTCAGGATAAGTGCTAAAGTTAGAGATAAGGTAAAGAGTAGGTTAAAATTAGGTCAAGACCCCCTGAATGTGGGTGTCAGTGAGGAGGCCTAGGTAATCTATTGAGCCTTGGGCAGCAGATCAGTACCCATCCTGAGTATACAGACGGACTTTGGACTCCCATCCAACAATGTGAGGTGCACTCTCACCCTGAACTCTTGAGGAAGGGTCTAGGCCCTGCCCTATATGAAATGACAGACTATAGACACCCCTACGTAGGACCTCATCCTCCCTGGGGAAATGAGGGGATAATGGGGGGTTTGGGGGGAGGGCACCGGAGGAGGAGAGGGAAAGGGAGAGGGACCTGGAACTGACTTGTGAAGCAACCTTGTTTCTTATCTAAATTTAAACTGAAAAAAAAATTAAAAAATAAAATTAGGTCTATGACTACTTACGGCTGGAGTTAAGTTAGCATTCTTAGTAATTCTAACACTAACTTCAAACTGTTAAGGTTTATTTTAAGCCTACTAGAAAGGATGGGAGGCAGGGTAGTAAGAAAGGAGACAAGAGCAGGGAAAGGAAAGAAACTAGTGATCTGGTGAAGACCTTTGAATTGTTTTAATGTTCGCTCTTCAACAATCCATTTTCTTCAACTACAATTTTACCAAAGTATGTAATATAATATATGTGGAAATAATATTAGAGAAAACAGCCATATTGGCTTCCACCACAGGAGATGGGGGTTGTCTTCTCAAGTGACATGAACTATTCAAAAGCTTCAGGTTAATAGTCATTGTAACATAGATATATCATCACAGAACAGGGGAGGTAGAAATGCTGGTGTATTTGGGGTCAGCCTGGTCTACAGAGAAGATTCTGTTTCCAACACCTATAATTAACTGACCGACAAAGCAAGCAAACATAGAGACAACACACAAAGAAACAAAAGCCTATTTTAAAGAAAGAAATGGAGCCTGACAGAAAGAATTGTACATTTGTGGACAGTCCACTTCAGATTCAGAAAGGTTTTCTGTTTTGATGCATAGTTGTGGGAAAGTAGTATGATTGCCTACAGTCTATCTCAGGTTTAAGTATTGCTTCTTAGAAATTATTTTTTAGCAATTGAATTAGATAAAAGGCTCTGATACTTGACCCTAGTTGATTTCCAGAACAACTATAGTCCAAGCAATAAAACAATAATCCTTAGAAAGAGCCTGGGAAATGGCTTAGCCGGCAGGATGTTTGCTGACACACAAGGATCTTCCCACACAAGTCCCAGCGCCTTG